TTGGAGAGATGGAGTGTCAGTCCAATCCTACAAGATAAAAACTAGACAGAATACAAATTGAAGACTTCTTAAACCCATCAGAGTACTGAGGTCACAGGGAAGCCAACTAACCTGAAATTTGGAGAAAGAAACAGGACCCAAGCTTTTGCTCACTTGAGACAAACAGCTCCCAATGGACATAAGGCAGTAGGAAGATTAAACTGGACAGTTTTAGTGAAAACATACATATATGAGCTAAAATGAGAAAATGATGTCTCTAGGGGCTTCAGACTTAAAAATATTCTCACCCTCGTCCAAACCTTTCCTCCAGGAACTTTACAGACTCTCACAAAGAAAGTGGGACAATCAGGGAAAGCCACCCTCTTCAGTGGTGCTGGCTGGAGTTTTTTTTTTTTTTTAAAGGATCAGCAGTTGGCATAATGGCTATGTCGCTGGACTTCCATGTAGTTGACTGCGGTTTGAGGCCCAGACTTAAACTCACGCCGGGCACATGTGCATGCGTGCCCAAGATCCCAAGAGGAGAATGGCAGAGAAGGGATTGCGGGGTGGCCATCCCCCCTGGGGGAGGGTGATTTCTCACTTTCTGTCTCTCTCTGTCCTTCTAGCGAGAGCATGCATCCTGTAGCAAAAACCTCTCAAGAAGAAGTAGAAGCAGCAGCAGCAGCAGCAGCAGCAGAAGCAGCAGCAGCAGCAGCAGCAACAACTGCTGTAATATGTCAGATCCAATTCCCCAATCTCTACTACAGATGGCAGATGAAACCTGCAGGGGAGAGCACTGGTGGAACCTCTTGCAGCTGGGGAGGGGAGCGGAGACACCACTGCTATGGAGTAAATTGTATCATTCCAACCCCAAATTCAGATGCTGAAGCCCTATCCTCAATGCCAATGTATGTGAAGATAGGGCCTGTAAAGAAGTAACTGAGGTTATATGAGGTCATAAGGAGGGAGCCCTGATTAGTGTTTTTGTAACAGGAAATACCAGAGAGCTCCCCCTCTCTGCTATGTCTGAATGTAGTGAAAAAGCAGCCATCCCTAAGCCAAAAGAAGTGCTCTTACCTAAATCAGCAAGCACTTTGATCTTGGACCTCCAGAACTATGGGAAAATAATAAATTCTGTTCTTTGGGTCACACAGCCTACCACGTTTTGTTACAGTAGTCTTAGCAGACTAAAACCATCACCAGAAGAATACCAATGTCAGGAACGAAAGACGGACCATCACTATGGATATCATGGACACTAAAAGGAACAGGAAGGAATATCATAAACAACCCCAGTGTTCACAAACCTGATAACTAAAAGGAAAGAGATCAGGTGTGATAGACAAGCTGCCAAAATTCATTAGGTAGATAATTGAGCAGCCTGATATGTACCGAAGAACTCGAATTTGTAGTTAAAATCTCATAAGGAAAAACTCCGAGATGAGATGGCTTTGTGGGTGAATTTTAACTAATATTTAAAGAACTACTGTTTTTCATAAAGTATTTCAGAAAACCAAAGAAAGAAATACTTCTATGAGGCCAGCTTCACCCTGATGCCTAAAGAAGGCAAATACGTTAAAAAAAAAAAAAGTCACTATCTCGAACATATACACAAAACTTTAAACACAATGTTAGCAAATTGAGACTACTGTAATGTACAGCAGTAACGGAACCGTGCAATGCTGAAGTCACGTGGGAAGCTCTGGGTGTGCGTCCTGGGGGTTCCCTGTACAGGCCAAACGCACACATTGCCCGTGATCCTGACGAGCTGAGGCTGAGGATGGATTGTGGCATGAGGGCACTGTTAGGGGTGCCTCTCTCTTTTTTTTTTTTTTTGAAGAGATTTTTCACTATAGGGCGCGTGCGCTCGCCAGACAGACAGAGAGAGACATAGAGACAGAAAGCGAGAAATCACCCCCCAGGGGGGATGGTCACGCCGCAATCCCTTCTCCTCCATTCTCCTCCCGGGATCTTGGGCACGCATGCACACATGCCCAGCGTGAGTTTTAAGTCACCGGGTCTGGGACGCGAACCGCGGTGGACTACATGGGAGTCCAGCGACATAGCCATTACGCTAACTGCTGGTTCCCTAGGGGTGCCTCTCTCTTAGGGAAGAAATAGATGGACTTTCAAAAAAAAAAAAAAGCCAACAAATTAAATTCAGAAATATATATTAAAAAAAGGTAATATGTATCATGACCAAGTGGGGATTACGTCAGAAAAGCCAAGATGGTTTAACATACAAAATCAAAGCTAAATGATATATAGCAATTGAATGTCTAAAAAATATTTTTAAAAATAAAATAAAACTATGTTAGGAAGAAGATGTTAAAGAACTAAAAAAAAAAATCAATTCACCATGCATCAGTTTTCTTGGACTGTCATAACAAAGTTTCATAAACCAAGTGGCTTAGAACAAACTACTCACTTGTCTCAGAGTTCTGCAGGCCAGAAGTACAAAATCCAGATATTGGGAGGGCCATGTTCCTTCTAAAGGCACTAGAGAAGGCTTGGTGCCAGGCTTCTCTCCCAGCTGTTGGTAACCTGGGGTGTTTGCCTGGTAGACAACCATCTTCGCTTAGTGTCTCTTCACATGGTGTTCTCCTTGCGTGCCTCCTTTTTATGAGGACACCAGTCGCATTGGACAAAATAGCCTAATTTCATCATCTTGGTTATCATTCAAAGTCTTTATTTCCAAACAAGGTCACATTCACTGGTACCGAGGGTCAGGACATCAATGTATCTTTTTTTTAGAAGGGAACACACTATGATCCATACACCACACGTAAAGCAAACATACACAAAATAGCTGGGTCCGAATGGTGGACCACAGTAGCACAGCACTGTGATGCTGGACTCAACTGGAAGGTTTCCGGTTTTGCATCCCGAGGTCTCCCTGTACAGGCCAGGTGCATGCATACCTGTGATCCTGAATAGCTGAGGCTAGAGGGAGAATGTGGCATGAAGACTCCATAGAGGGTGCCTCCTCTCCCTTTTCAAAGAAAGAAGTAAATTTAGGCCAAAAAAAAGGCCAAATGATCGTTTTAATAGATGCAGAAAAAGCACTGATGGAATCCAACATTTATTATTCTGTAGTTAATTTTTTTTCCCCTTTATTCATGAGGACATGTGAGAGAGAGAGAGAGAGAGACATCCTCCATTGGGACTGGTCACTCTGTAATTGCCTTCCTCCAGTCCTCTGGCCCATTGGATTCTGGGTACCAGTACTCTGGCCTAGCATGTTCCCAACCAGCTGGGCTGAGGGTTTGAATACCTGACACCATGTGAGATCCACCTGTTCTTGGCAGAGTTTTACTGTTGTGTCACAAAGTGTGGCACACTTTTGTGTGCTGTGCCACAACATTCATTCTTCACCAAAGCTCTCGTGAACTAGGAATAGAAGGGAACTGATTTTCAGTCTTGATAAAAGGCATCTACATATCACCCTCAGCTAATACACATATTCAAGAGTGAAAGGCTGAATGATTTCCCTCCAAAATCAGAAAGAAGGAAAGGATGCTGAGTCTTATCACTTTCACTTAACATCGCACTGAAGATACTAACCAGTGTAAAAGGCAAGAAAAAGAAAAAGTATCTGGGATGGAAAGGAAGCAAAACCGTCTTTATTCACAGTCAACAAATCCTGTGATGTAAAAAATCTGGGTAAATCTGCAAAAAGCTACTAGGACCCCTTATAACCGGAGTTTTTTACAAAATTGCAGACACACAAGAAAATAAAGTTAGATGTAAAAAAAAAAAATCAATTGTATCTGTATAGGCTAGTAAAGAACTGGAATTTTAAAATGTCTTTTATGGAGCCTCAGAAAGCAAAACTTCCCCCCTAAGTCTTTAGATTTAGTGATAAATCCGATTTAGAGACAGATCGGACCAAAGATCTTATTTGTTGAGAAAAATAAGACCTAAATAAATGGAAAAGCTTACTTTGTTCAAGGGTCATATAACTCAATACTGTTAGCATTTAAATTATTTTCATAGGATCAACAGATACAATGTAACCTCAATCAGAATCCCACAGAAAATGACAGGCTGATTTTAATATTCACATTCATTTTAGTGGAGCCAACGACTGAAAAAGGAGAAACAAACTTGGAGGACAAACACTATCTGATGTAAAGATTATCAATCTACAGGAATTAAGATAGACAAACAGATCACTGGAATAAAACGGAATTCAACCCACAATTGATTATTTTTTAAGAAAGGACTTCCCCACACTTGCAGCTTGACCACGCCTCATTGGGAGGGGCTATCTTTTTCAGGAGATCAGGCACCCAGTGGAAAAAAAAAAAAAACAAAAAACAAAGACCAAGCCAAGGGTTTCTTTAGGCTGAGCTGCTCCGTGCCCAGCCTCTGGAGTCCTGAGCCTGCGGGGTCCTGCAGAAGCCAGGGACCCGCCAGAAACCAGGGACCTGCTATTAGAGCGAGCGGGAATGAATCAGCTTCCCACGTGGCCTCAGCCTGCCAAGGAGCAGAGCCACCCACAACTGATTTTTAAGGACAACTCATTTTTTGATATAAGTGCAAAGGCTATTCAATGGGAAACAGCAAAACTCTTAGAACGAAGGATACTAGATGTCCAAATGCAACAATATGAACTAAGACTGATACCTTACACCACACACACAGATGCGCTCGAACTGAATCGCAGACCTAAATATAAAACTGAAATTCTAAAACTTCTACCACAAAACATATGAGACCTCGTATCGTGAACTCATATTAGCCAGATTTCTCAGTCCAAACACCCCATCCAGCAATTTCCTGGGTCCACCCGCACAGGCCGGTTTCTCGGTTCAGCTAGGAGCACCCGCCTGGTCCCAGCCCCGCCCCGGACTCTCCGCGCCTCTATC